TGCCTTAGATGGTGTCATTTCCAATTCGTCCATTTGTTCGTGCGCATGTCGTATTATGATCCAGCATGATTTGTGCCATGGTTGGCGGGGGTTTGGCGACCTTGCACTTCTTTCTCTCCCTCCTCAGTGTGCGAACACATGCCCATGGTTGCTGGCCATGACGCCCAGGACATTTTCTGGCCACGTTGCCCAGGACATCTTCTGGCCACGTTGCCGAGGACATCATACCACGTTGCCCAGGACATATTCTGGCCACGTTGCCCAGGACATCATGCCACGTTGCCCAGGAGCTCTTCTGGCCACGTTGCCCAGGACATCATGCCACGGTGCCCAGGACATTTTCTGGCAACGTTGCCCAGGACATCATGCCACGTTGCTCTGGACATCTTCTGGCCACGTTGCCCAGGACATCATGCCGCGTTGCCCAGGACATCATCAGGCCACGTTGCCTAGGACATCATGCCACGTTGCCCTGGACATCTTCTGGCCGTGTTGCCCAGGACATGAGGCCGCGTTGCCCAGGACATCTTCTGGCCACGTTGCCCAAGACATCAGGCCGCGTTTCCCCCGGGCGTCACCGAGACAAGCCCCAGGTAGGAAAAAAAAAAAAACAAAAAAGGCCAGAAGAGGCCCGCCGAAGACCGAGAGTTGTTGGATTGGAAACCAGCAGAGGAGGAAACGACAGAGGTCAACGATTTCGTTGGCTCCTGCACATGGTCAGTTTGGAAGACCCAGATGAGTACTTCATAGAGCATTATTTGAAAGATCCTGATCGATATGTTTTGGTGCCTAAAGGATCCCACCATTGCGTCACGCATGTGTTGCAAGCAGCCAAATCCATATCACCGGCTCTGGGTTCACACGGTTACACCACGCTCAATATTGTCGACGAGAATCTGCTTGGCCTGGGAGGCATTACTTCTGGAGGCTGGACGGACATCCCGCACAGCCGGATCTGGGAGTTTCTCGTCCGTGGCATTACTTCTGGAGGCTGGACGGACATCCCGCACAGCCGGATCTGGGAGTTTCTCGTCCGTGGCGCTACAGCCCTCGACGATGCGGGCCTCTTCTGCTTCTCCACGAGTTGCCGCCTCAAATAGCGGAAAAAAATACAATTTCGGATCATATGATGCAGAATTTCCAAAACAGCGCGGATAGGGTATTTCATTATTCTGTGGTTCGGAAGCTCTGTTTTGGAGGCCTCTTCGGTGAGCGTGATGATCTGCTGGAGGTCAAGTCCGGGCAGCGTAGGAGACTGGGTAGCTTGCTTCCCGGTCTCCGACGCGGCCCGCGCATCACGTCCAGGAGTGCGTTGCGCTCCCGAACTGACTCGTCGGGGGCGAGCCGCACTGCTAGCTGATATCACCATCCCGGGCCGCATAGGGAATGGAGTAGCCTAACTTCTCTGTTCTCCATGCTGCCCGCGCATCGTCGAACGATGCGCCTAGCCACGCTCGGTGCTAGAGAGTCGACTGGTGCAATGCTCCAGCCGGCTCGTCAGGGCGCGACACCCAAGCTGGGTGATCTTGGGGCAACTCGCAAACCCCAGCGAGAGCCGAGCGGCGATCTGCATCCTCGGTGTCGGGGGGCCACCGACACAAGGGTGATGCAGTCTGCCTGCTCTGCGTGAACGTGCTGTGTTCTCGCACGGGGGTTGTGAGCTGTCTCAGGGTCTCTTGGGTTGGGCGTTTCGGTGGTTGGCCTCCGGTAAAGCCGGAGGGCGACCAGCGGTGAATTCGGCTATTTCTCTCGTTCGCCCCTCGTGCTCCCCTCGTCGTGTTCTCATCTTCATCTCCTCCTCCACCTCCTCATCGTCTTCCCCCCTTGTTCATCCACCCCTCCTCCCTTTGCGACAGTCTGCAGGTGTTCTCCGGTGGCTGCCTGCCGCCTCGTCCTGAAGCTGGGGTCATATGGGTCCAGGCGCCCTTTCGGCCCATAGCGAGCACGTCCATCGTGGGGGTGGGCGGATAGGACGCGTCGTCGTTGTCGTCGTCGTGGTCGTCGTCGTCGTCGTCGTCGTCGTCGTTGTCGGGGAGGGGAATTCCCCGATCTGTTCGGGGGGCGCCCCGAGGGAACGATGTCCAGAACATTTTGGGGAGGGGGGGGTCGGCGCCTTCGCCGTCGCCGTCGTCGTCGTCGTTGTCGTCGGGGAGGGAAATTCCCCGATCTGTTCGGGGGGCGCCCTGAGGGAACCGATGTCCAGAACATTTTGGGGAAGGAGGTGTCGGCGCATTTTTTTGTGTCGTCGTCGTCGTCATCGTCGTCGACGTCGGGGGGTTTGAGTGCGGGGAGAGGCGTGGAGGTTCTGGAGTACGAACCATCCTACAACGCGCGCAAAACACTGACTCCTTGGGGCGCAGAGAAGACGGTGGGTAGCAGGATTTTTTCAGTGGGGAGCGCGCTGATATTTGTGTTTTGCTTGTGCTCGGCGCATGAGGCCCCAGACGGCGCGGAGTCAGATGAGTAGTGGAGCGCTTTTGTGTCCCGCACCTTCTGAGCGTGGGCGTCCAGCTCACGCAGGTGTCTTCGCCGCGTCCTGTGCAGCCGACATGTGGCGCCTAGCGCGATTATGGTGAAGAGGGTGGAAGGAAGCGGGGAAGAGCGAGATTAGGAGAAGAGGCGAGGGTGAGATTGGGGAGAGCTGGGGGGCGGGTTGAAGTGGTCACCGGTAGGAGGGAACATCGAACTGAGGAGACAAAGAACAACGGAGGAGATTGATATGGAGAAGGAGCGTAGCACGCGAGGGGGGGGGAGGTGGTTGGGCGGGGACGTGCGCCGACGAAGGAAGCGCCAGCCGTTTGGTCCGGGTCGGGCGGGTTGGTGGCGCTGCATCATTGGAGTCGACGTCCATGGTGAGTGTTGCGTCATTGCGAGGGTACCCTGGTTTCGCGCTGTCTTTGCCGTGCCCCTGTCGTCTGCCGCCCGAAGTACCCGAATTTTGACTCTCCAAGGGCTTGCGTCCTTATGTTGAGACCATGTGACAGAAGCTGAGTGCCGCCTATGTGAGGGTGCGTGGCGGGTACTAAAATGGAAAGAACACGGGATCCTTTTCGTTGTACGTATCCCGCGGCCTGTGGACTTCCCAGAACTCGGGGGCCGAAGCTTCGAAAACTGGTGCGTGTGTGTGGTCCCCTCGAGGGGTCCAGGGCCCCATCCCCTGACATCGGGTATGGCACAGAGATGTGGTGCAGGCGTGCTTCATCATGTTGTACGGTCGTCGGGCAGTCTCAGAACCATGCGTCGTTGAATCTTTGTAAGACGTGATGAGCAGTCACGCGCGTCATTTCCTGGGAGGGAAATTGTCCAGCTTGTGCATGTATCTTGGCCGCGTGCTTTGCAGCTGACAAGTGGCGCAAAGCGTAATGTGTCCGAAGTCGCCCGTGCCGCACTGGTGCGTCGTGGCACGGTCCAGTCGCGCAGGTAGGAAGCCGTGTTGCGCTGCCGGGGTCTCCGTCGGCACGCAGCTACTCGCACCCGCTTTTTTCATGGTTGCTGCTGTGAGGTTCTCCGAGTCCTTGCCAGTACAGCGGGGGAGGTGCGAGATGCATGGGAGGGATGGAATGAGAGAAAGGGAGGGACGGGGGAGGTCGCGTGGTAAGCTCGGAGTGGATTGCGCACGGTGTGGGAGAGAAAAGAGGAGGAGTACGAACAGGAGGAGGAGGACGTAGAGGAGGAGGAGGAGGAGGAGGTGGGCAGCAGGTGGCGGAGATGCCGTCGCGGCGCAGGTCCCGAGGTCAAAACATACGGAAGGGGACGGGCAGCGGAAATACTGGAGCGCATGGAGGAAGGACTGATCCAGCGAGGAGGGCAAGTGGTTGAGGATACTGCGTGTCCCGAAAGAGGCGCCCGTAGTAGCTAACAGGGGCGGAGCGGGCAATGGGTCGGCGTGCCAGTACCGTTGGCAATCGTGGGGGGACATGTAAAGGGAGCAGCACTGCCAAATCGTTCTCGCGGTTCCGCCCTCGCACGTCTGGAAGCATTTTGTGTCGGGTCGCGCGTGGCAGCCGACATCTGGCGCCGCGCCCGGAGCGCGCCCCTCGGATTGCATGCTGGATGCGGTGGAAAAGGAACAAGCGGCGAATCTGATTCATCCGAGGGGGGGCCAAGAGCGAACATCGGCATTGAGCGTACAGTGTGTGGCGGGAAGAAGAGACATGAGTCTTATCAGTCGCCCCGATTACAATTCCTATTCCTGCAATTCTGGAAGCCATCCGGGAACTCGAACCGCAATTTCTCAAGCGCCTTGGGGGTCAGCAGCGGACAATCATCCGTATTGCGATTTAGGGGCAGGCCAGGGTATGTAGTTACGCGAGTACGTTCTGCCTTCGCTCTCGTCTTGTGGAACTTGGTTGATCGGTGCGGTCTGCATGAGTACCATGGTCAGTTTGCGTACGTATGAGAGACGTCGCCGTCGTCGTTTCCGTCGTCGTCCTCACGCCCAATTGACAGGCGCATGTTTTCATCGGCGCTGGCCCCATGTTTCGCATCTGGGGTGGCCGATGGCAGCATGATTAGCTGGGTCGCTGTACGTCTGGCTCCCGTGGACATGTTTGATCAGTCGGTTCAGTGACGGGCGGGGTCTCTCTGTCCCACGTCCCTTGGTTCGAAAACGTGGCGGCTACTGCGTTCGCAAAGAATGATAAATGCGTGTGAAATCGCGTACCCCGGCCTACCCATCCAGAAACGATGCCCATGAGAGCTGACGAGATGAAGGGGAGGACAAACGTATAGTGAAACAGCGCGGGCCGCACGGTTGAATGGAGAGACCTCCGAGAGCGGGCGGGTGCCGGTGCTGCTGATGCGTCCTGATGGTGCAGTAGCTGTTGTACGACATCTTTTGGGGGCGTTCTTGGAGGACCCCCCCAGATGGCCCAGGAGGCAGAATCATTGAAGAACAGGTTGTGTTGCAACACTTTTGTTCAGAAGTAAGCTTTATGCTCGAGACATCCTCGAGGCATGCCTTCGGGGGGGTCTGCGAAATCATCATATTGAGGATGACAATGCTGACGGTGATGATGGTGATGATGATGATGTCATGGCGTTGGTGATGGTGACGACGGTGGGGAGAACGATGATGGTGAAAGCGAGGGGGAGACGGAAGAAGCTGGAGGAGTACGGAGGAGTGAGGAGGACAATCAGAACAGTCCTGTGAATGTTCGGGGAGCGCGTGTCCACAGGTATCCCCGGTGGACGTTCGGAGAGGTCGCCCACATTACGTTTGATGTTGATCGTGCTGCACGGTCTTGCGCAGCTCTTCGGTTTCATGCACGTCCCGGTCATGTCAGGAAGGGTGTTGACACATTAGCCATTTAACGTGGAAAATCTCCACGTTTCAGCGTTGGCACGTGAATTCCACGTTACGCCTGAACGTGGAATTCTTCCATCGTGCAGGGTCGATGGGCACCCCTAACGTGGACTTTCCACGTTAGAACCACAACAGGGAACCTCCACGCAAACGTCTCCCATGATATTGGCGATGACGATGACGACGATGGTGACGATGCCCACGACGATGATGGCGACGACGATGATGATACAAATGATCGTTGTGGTGGTGATGATGATGATGACGATTATAGTGATGCTGATGTTCATGCTGGTGATGCTGGTGCTGTTGCAGTTGATGATGCAGACGCTGATGCGGAACTGTGCTCATACAGATGCTGATTTCAGTGGTGACGTTGGTGGCGATGGTGATGCTGATATTGCCCATTATGCTGCTGGTGATGGTGATGGTGATGAGGATGATGTGATTACGAGGATTAAGAGAAAATTGGCGGTGATGACAACGAGGAGGAGGAGGAGGAGGAGGAGGAGGAGGAGAAGGAGGCGGACGATGATGAGGAAGAGGAGGAGAAAGAGGAGGAGGAGGAGGAGGAAAAGGCGGACGAGGAGGAGGAAAGGGAGGGCGCGAAGGAAGTGAGGAGGGGAAAAACGACGATGACGACGACGACGACGACGATTACGCAAGCACGCCGCGCGCTGTGGCTCAAGCCGCTCAAGGGGCGACTTGAGCGGCTGCAACTGGGCCCCTCCAGGCGTCCCTCTCGGGGGGCCGCAGGGGCGGCGCCGGGCGTCCCCCTCGGGGGGCCGCGGGTCGGGCCAACCGACACAGAGGCCCATCCCTGGTGGAGGGGGGAGTAAACGACGAAGCTCAAGCCCTTCGGCGGGGTGGGCTCGCCCGGTACCCCCCCCGAGGCCGGGGATGGGCCCTCGCGTAAAGCAAAGGCCGACTGGGAGCCATAATCCCAAAGGGCTGACTGGGAGCCATAATCCCAAAGGGCTTACCGAGAGCCATAATCTCGAAGGGAGCGCCGGCGTCCATAAGCCGGTCCCCCGAAAGGGGTGTATTGGTATGGGGCCCCATGTGGGTTTTGTACCAATGCTGCATGGAGCGCCGGTGTCCAAGCCGGTCCCCCGGGAGGGGTGTGTCGTGGGGAAGCCACGTCACTGCAAACATCTTCGAAGAGAGACATTTTCTGGAAAATCTCGCTGTCTCTCTCCCATCCGTGCAAGGGGGAAACTATCGCGGATTTTTCTGAAGGCGCGGCTTTTAGACGATTGGAACGGGAAGCGACCGCGAAATTTTCCCCAGACTCGTTCTCCGAACGGTAGAAGGGAGAAACCATCGCGATTTTTTTCCCAGGCGCGTCCGCCCGATGATATGAGGGGGAGACCATGGCAAGTTGTTTCCCAGACTCCTCCTTTGCGCAAGAGAACGTGGAAGCTGACGCCATTTTGTCCCGACGCGCGTTCACCGAGGCGAAGACTCCCGAGGAATTGGCCCCAGGAACGACCACTCTACGATGAAAGGGGGAAACTATTACGAATTGTCTCCCAGGCGCGTCATCGGAAAGATATGACTGGAGAGCAACCGCGTATGTCTTTCCAGACTCGGCCCTGGAACGACAGAAAGGGCAGACTTTCGCGTTTTGCGATGCAGGCGTCTCTCCTGCGCATTGCGGCGTCGATGTCGGGCCGCCAAGCGCGTCGCGTTGGGAACACCCGCACAGCCCACGCGCGTCGCTCGCCGGGGATTGGCTTGAACCGGAAATCGGGAAGGCAACGCCGAAGACACAGCCCAAACATGAAGGGCGCGGGAACTGTAGGCCATGGAGTGCTACGAGTGGCCGTCGCGTGGACCATGTACGCGTCGCCCGTGCTGTGTACAGAAGTGCGCGCGTTGGCAGAGGACGTGGACACTCTGGGGCGCTTTGAGAATAAGTGTGTTCAAATTGCAATAGCGAAGATGCGTCGAGGACGGTGGCGAAGGGACGCTTTCAGAAGTTTTGAACGAAGTTGCGACAATCACGCGGTTTCCGGGGAGAGCATGGGGGATCCAGAGGCGAGACAAAATATGTTGGCCGTTGAGGCATGGTTACGTTGCCACCAGGCGTACGTCTGGGTGTACGAGGCGCAAAGTGTGGCGCACTTCATGCAAGGGACTCCGCTCGCGAAATGGCCGCTGGGCGTTGTAGAAGGGAGTTGTGTAGGCGCGGCCGTGTGGTTCTCGGACGGTCATCTGGTGCGCGTGGCTCAAGGATGGCGCGGCTTGGACGGTGTAGAAGGAGCGCGCGGGCATGCTCCGTGGTTGCGGGGTGCTGCCGGTGGTCGCGGTGGTGCGGGGCCACAAAGCAGCGCCCCCGCGCAGGAGGGCAACGCTAGTGCGGGCGGAGGAGGCCAGCGCGCTGGCGTGGACGCGGCAATGCCCGCGCTTCCAGGTCTGAGGAACCCCAAGTGGTATTGCTTCATGAACGCACCACTGCAAGCGCTCTTCGCCCTCCCAAAAGCGCGGCTGGCGTTGCGCACGGTGCGACGGGGGAGCCCTGCTGAGTGGGCCGGATGGCTTTTTGCGGAGCGCCACAGTGCCGAGCAGCGGTCAGGCAGGGCCCCGGACTTCGACGGACTCTTGGCACAGACGTTGTGGGAAATGGAGTGCAGCGTTGGGCCGAGGCCTGTCCTACTGGACGCCATGCCGGGCGTTTTCTATGATGAGACTCAGGAAGATGCAGGGGAGTTTTTGCAGGAGGTATTGAACGATGAGCGGGCGCCCGTTGTGAGTGAGCTGTTCCGGATGGAGAAAGTCGAGCGACTTGTGTGCACTCGGGAAAGTTGTGGCGGTGCCACGGTGGTCAAGGGGGACAGAGACTTGACGTGTTTGATGGTGCAGATACCACGGGGAGACGGCGGTCGGGTGAGAACAGTGCAAGAGGCCGTGGACAGAAGCAGCGGCGGGGAGATGATGGAAGCAGATCACAGGTGGTCGTGCCCAACAGGATGCGGGTGTCGCGCCGCGAGAAAGGAGTGGCAGCTGACGCGGGCGCCGCAGTGTTTGTGGATCCAACTAGTCGCGCAGGAGTACGATGCAGCTTCGGGGAGAGTGATGAAGGTTCCTCATGCTGTCGTGCCTAGTGAGGACTTAGTCCTCTGCGGGCAACAGTACGCGCTGGTGAGCTGTGTGTTCCACCACGGAGAAGGATTTCGCACGGGGCATTATAACGCGTGCTGCCGGACATCGCATGGCGGCAGAGCGCGGTGGGAAATGCGCGACGACGGCGAAGTATGGCCGAGCGTGCCGCCGTCTGACGCGCGTGGATGGAAGACTGCTGCTGACTCGTCGGTGCACATACTGATGTACGCGCGCGTGGCCGCCGTGCTCGAGCCTGCGAGAGTGCGCGGGGCGGAGTCGGGTGCGAGTGATGCGGGTTTGAGGTCAGGGGCGGCCGCGAGCGCAGCGCGGTCGGGCAAGTCAAGCGTCGGTGAGGTAGCGGCATTGGAACATGGCGCGGTCGACCTGGAGGGACTTTCGTCGGCGACGTCGAAGGAGAAGCGCGGTGTGGGGCCGGTCATGCAGGGCGTCGCCGCGCGGAGAGGTCGCGCTCCAGCGGTGCACATCCTGCCGTGTGATCTCGTGCCACCAGTGCGAGTCATCAGGGAGTCGGATATTCGCGCGCTGCGTTTGTTGCTGAGTCCGTGCGAAAAGCCGGATGCGTGGGACGTGCCCGGACTGGAGTTCGTGCCGGGAGAGCTGCGCGCCCAGCTCTGGAAAGCGTGGGGCGACACGGAAGCGCTCCTGCGAGTCATGCAAGAAACGTGGGCGCGTGCCTGGCAGGGGTGGGAGGAGTCATGGGACGCTCTGGCAGACGCTCCCGACGCAGAGGATAGATGCCGCGTGGTGGAAGAACGGACGTGCAAGTTCATGGAATTCTTGATGGGGGAAGTGGTGTTCGAGGCGAAGACGGACGAGGAACGCGGGGCCGAGATGGCACGGGATGGCCGCTGTGTGGGTGCATCGCTTGCACACGGGGTCAACGCTAGCCTAGCGGACAGTATATTCCAGCTTGTGTCGAACGCTGGGTGGTGTGGCCATGCCCTGGCGTCCGCTGAGGAGCGACGCGTCGCATGTGAAGCGTGCGTGGGGTATTTGCGAAACGTCGAGGATGCGTGGTTAAATCTGGCGTCGCACGGTGGGGAGCTAAGCGTTGCCGCTCATGCAGGCGAGATCGTGAGGTTTGCGTTGGCCCGCCACGGCATGCAAGGAGTAGCGCTGCCAGACCGAGTTATCTTGCGCACGTACTCCCGCTTTGACGGGCACGTCGGGCCACGCGGGGGGTATGACATGACGTTGTCCCGAGAGGAGATCCTGGGGGGCAGCCCGGTACAGGGGCAATGGCCTCGTGCGGGCGATATCACCGAGGAGCAAGGGGCAGTCGTCCTTGAAATATACAATGAGACAGGCGCCGACATCAGCAGTACCTGGTACAGGCCAGTGTGGACGCGCGCCGAGAAGAATTCCCGCGGGAAAGCGGCTTCCGAGGGGGCAGACGAACCTCCGGAGGTGGCTGGGACAGAGACAGGGCAGCCCGAGAGCGCAGGATTGCAGACGACGGCGAAACGAGCACGCTTAACACGGAAAAGCGCGCCGGCCGACCGGGGCGCCAGCGCTCAGACTACAGTCTGTGAGAATGGAGGTGGGAGGAGGCCGTCCGACCAGGGGGCGCCCCCTCCGCCTTCCCCGCACCCGGTGAGCCGGCCGGAGAAGGCGCGCAATTCGGGCAGGGCCAGCGCGGACGGGGAGGGCCGAGTGTCGGAGGAAGGGGGGGTGTCCAGGACGGCGCGGCCGAGTAGTGCAGGACCGGACGCGAGTGCGGGCGGTGCGGGCAGGAGCGGAACGGAGCAGAGCAAGGCCCAGGTCGTGGAGAACGGCTACACGGAGGCAGCGGGAGCAGCGCACGTGCACCGCGTCCGCGCTGTCGAGAACGGCCGCGTGTCCGCGGACGTCTGTCGCAGGGGAAGGGAAGAAGGTCTACGGGCTGCTGCTGAGCTTATGAAAAAGCACCCCACCGTTCCAGCGGTCTCCGTGCACGGAGCATCGTTGAAGGACGACGACATCTTCTCACGAGGTGCCGTAGTACTGCCGCCAGCGCACTGCGCTTTCAGCAGATGCGGGTGGAGAGGGTCCAGCAACGCGGAGCTCCAGGAGCATGTGGTAAGCAATCACGCGGGGGATCTACGGGACGTCGCGGAGGCGCTCGCGTGCAACGAAGAAGACGAGACGAGGCGAAGAGAGGCACAGTACTGGTCCGCGTACAACGAGGCCATTGCATGGAAAGTTCGAACGGGCGCGCCGCTTGCAGCACTGGCGATCGATCGCCGATGTCTGTTCGAGTATGCGCGGAGTCTGCGCGAGGGTGCCGTCGACTCTCTCGTGCGCATGGTGTGCGCACGGAAGTTTCCGCACGTGGAAGGGCGCAGAGGGAACCCGATCGAATGGCGCGCGGTGAGTCCGAACGCGGACGGACTGTTCTGGCTGTCGGGCGCTTTTGTGAGAGAGCATATGTCGGTGGACGCGTACGTGGAGCGCTTCGGCAATGTGAGTGCGGACGGGGAGGGTAGCAGCGGTGTTCATCTCCGAGATCGTATGGAGGAGTTCAATGATTGGCAAGTGACGGTCCCATCAGAAGAGGGGCCCGTCAGCGTGCTCTGTTGCCCCGAGGACATGCGGTGCGGAGGTGGCACGTGGCACTCGGAGAACACGGCGTGCAAGTGTTGTGAAGCCCCGTTGTGTGGTGAGTGTAAGAACGCGATGGTGGGCCTTCGCGGCGAGGCGACGCTGCCCCCCGCGGCGCTGGCCAATGATATGATGGCTTTCTATTCGCCGGAAGAACTGTTCGGTAGCAAGGTGACGATATTGGAGATGATCTGCGCCTCTGTCTGCATCACATCAATGGTGTGCTTCACGCTGGAGAAACGATACCGGAAGGAGAGGTCTTTTGACATGGAAGTGGGTGCGAACGAGGTCCGCATGGCGGCCCGCGGAAACGCGACGTCGTTCCCGATGCCGTGGACGGACGTTCTGGCGCAGCTGGCTGCTGCTGAAGAGGCTGCCGAGGACGGGCATGCGCCGGTAATTCCCCGCACGGGCGCGGAGCTTGCAGGCATTGTGTCAGTGATCTTGAAGTCGGGCGGCGACGACGATACTGCTGCAAGCATGTCCACGTTCGTACACCAGGCTCTCGTGTGCAGGAAGGTGGTCGTGGATCTCATCCAGGGGGCGAAGGCTCGCGGGCATCGCGCGTACCGGAACGTGGACATGGATGAGGTCCGGAGAAAGGCCATGGAGCTTCCGGAGGAAGGCGTGCCACCAGAGGTCATGCGGCTGGTGCCCCTGGACGACGCGCTGGAGAAGATCCAAATGCAGAAGGCGGCGACGCCCGTGCCGAGGCCCGACGGGCTACGTGAGGCAGGAGAGATTTTGGAGACCACGAAGGCGAACGCTGTTGTGTGTGAGAAGAGCAGTTTCGACGAAATAGACATCAATGCGCAGCGGATTGAGGCCGTGCGGACCTTCGTGCAAAGGCTGGATGAGGAGTGCGCGCATGGCGGGGCCGACGACACGTCGAACTCCAGCGAGGACGAGGAAGACGGCGGGAAGGCAGAACGGGCAAGTAAACGCGGGCGCGTCCACGAGGGAGTGCCCTCGGGCGCGAATGAGGCGGCCCGAGAAGCAGTGGAGCGCGACATGCTGACTCAGGCTGGGCGCGAAAGGAAGCGCGTGGATCGGCTCCGCGTGCGCACTGGAAACGTTATGATGGATCAGTTCGAGCCCTGGTATTTTGGGGTAGCGTTCGCGTTCTTGTTTAAGTATTGCACGGGAATGCCTGACTGCCCAGAGTTCATGAAGCGCCCGCGCCACCGAAGGGGGAACGGGGCGCCGCGGGTGGAGCTGCCGCTGTGGGTGAGGATAATGAGTCGTCGCGTGGAGAGCCAGATTTCCCGCGACTGGCACTTCGGATTCGTGTCGTGGAACCTTGTGTTTCGATCGGCCGTGAACCTGAGTAGGACGTGGTTCACGTATGTGTCCGCGAACGCATCAGGCGAGGTCGAGCAGCTCACTCCCGCGGAAATCGCGGAAGGAGCGAAGCAGATTTATCAAGCGCTCGACGGGAAGTACGTAGACATCAACAATAGGAAACAGAAAGTGAACGGCGACATGACCAAAGTGCGGCACGTGCCAACGTTGGGGAAAGCCGCCCATAAGCTGCTTACGCACATAGAGCACACTTCGCGGCGACTGTCTGGTACACAGGAAGCGCGTCGAGTCATGCGATTTGAGACGAACGCGCTGCGAGTGCGGTACGGCGTCCCCATTTTCGTAACCTTCTCGCCCGACGAAGGTCACAATCTTCTCATGGTGAGACTCTCGCGCACTCGACGGCAAGACCCTGTGCACAAGGCGGCTGATGACGAAGCGCAGTCGCGGCTGGCGGGGGGTCGGGGCTGGCCGCGCGTAGCCCCCGACATGGATGGGCTGCAGATGGACCTGCCAATGGCCGCGGGGGAGGCAGAAGTGCCGCCATGGAACGAGCGCAGACGAATTCTTGCGAGAGATCCCATGGCCAGCGTGGACGGGTTCCGTATCCTGGTGGACGCCGCGCTCCGTCACTTGTTCGGCGTGCGGATCTGTCCGAACTGCCCGCGGTGCAACGAGGCGGAGAACGGGGCACCGTGCCAGGACCTGTTCGGGAGTAATGCTGAGCCCGGTGGGGGCGCGTTCGGGCGCGTTGATGCCTACTACGTGTCGATCGAAGCGCAGAAGTCCACGGGGTCGCTCCACGCGCACTGCCAGGTATTCATCCAGTGCCTGCACCAGCACACACCGCTGGAAGAGGTATTCGAAATCGTACGCGACGAGGTGGACGGCCGCGGAAGAAAGATCGTGGAGGATTACTTGAAGTATAAGAGTCGCGTGTGCCGCCAGGTTTATTCGGAGCAGATGACATCGGAGGAGGTGGATGGCAAGTTGGAGGAGGCAGAGAAGTCGTGGCCGGAGTTCAAGGAAGAGCGCGGTCTCATTTGCAGGCCCGCGTTTCAGTGTCGCACACTTGACCCAGAAGCAACGGAGAAGGAGGCAGCAGACGACGCTGTGGCATGGGAGAAAGCGTATTTGGACGAAGACGTGCAGTACTTGCAGGAGATGAAGCAGAACCACGTTCATTTGAAGAACGAGGAGACTGGGGAGCGAGTACCCCTGCCGGCGTGCCGCCGGAAGGACAACCCGAAGTTGTGTAAGGCGGACTTTCCGCGGACGTCGCAGCTCATTGACCGCGCCATCGTCGTGTGTCCAGGGCAGGCGGCAGCGTTGGACATGCCCAAGGCAGGGCGACGGAATCGGACGGGAAGCCTGCACGGGCCGATGAATCACGCGAGTCTGAACGGCACGCATCCATGCATGTTGTCCGCGCAACGTTTCAATTCCGACGTGCAATTGCCGTATCGTTTCCCCATCACAGATGTGTGTTGTACGTGCGGGAAAGCGTGCGATAAGAAGCTCAACGACGCAGCGATCATCAAGGTCGCGCAGATGGCACAGGACGCACAGGCAGGGTACGCCTGCGACTACTGCACGAAGCGGCAACCCATGGCTTTTCACGAAGTGAAGGAGTGCTGCAAGGGAGTAGAGAAACTTGGCAGGCAGCTGGAGGGCGAGAATTCGAATCGGATCGGGAAGAGAGTAGCGAACCGAATCATGAGCGACGCGTACGGCAAGGGCATCGTGCGGGGGCAAGTGGAGTGTGCGAACCTGAGGGCGTTTGCGAGGGAGGACGACGTCACTGCGGCGGAATCACTGAAGTCGTGCCAGACCACCGCCTTTTATGGACGCGAGTACGTGGACTTGGTCGAGCGCCTGGCTGACCGCGCGGGAGGCGGGCGCAAAGCGCAGTTTGCTGAAGTGGACATGCGGCAGAGGAGACGCAGAAAGGTGACCTTCCGAGACGTGGGCATGTTGTATGGACTGCGACCGAACGTGCCCGACCTGTGGCACTTGTCGCCGTACGAGTTCGCGACGTTCTGGACGCCGGTGTTGCTGTCGTTCCCGACGAGACTCGGGGATGCGGATCATCCCCGGCATCACGCTGTTTTGACGCAGAAGGGGCAGGCAAAGGTGCGGGAGAATTGTAAGAACCCGAGATTCGAGCAGGACCTGGTGCCTGGGGAGGACTACATGGTAAAGGAAGGAGGGGGCGTGGATTGGGTGCCTTACCCAGAGACAGAGGGGCGCGCTCACCTTCGTCACACGTGGGTGCTCAAGCGGAACAAGAGACCCAAGGCACCAACATTTTTCGGAGCGCCCGTGCCACGCGGACGTCCTGGAGAAGCGGAGCGATCTGCGCGCATTGTCATGACGTACTTCCACCCGTGGACGTTGAGGCCCGACGCGGCCGACGCGCACGTCGTGTTTGCGGGGAGCCTGCGCGGCGAGGCGCCGACGTGGGACGCGGCCATGGTGGCATGGCTGGACGGCGGGGTGCAGACGAGGGAAGCCGCGCGGTACGTGGGCAACTTCCTGAGTGTGCACCGCGTTCGGCCACGAGACACTGAAGAGGCGGGGGACGGGACCGACGAAGACGTGAGCGACGAGGAGTTGGACGTGGGCTTCGATCAGCTCGACGAGGCGCTGAAGTCCCGCGTGGGCGGGAAGAGGCGCAAGGACGGCGACGGGGACAGCAGCGGCGAGGAGGACGACGCAGACCCTGGGCAGGGAGCCGGAGGCGTCTCCCACTACGAAAATTCGAAAGGGGGCATGAGTGTCGCGCAACAGGTGTGGGGGCTCCGCGATGGCGAAACGCCGTTGAGCGAGATTCTGGGTGCGTGGCCCGCAGAAGAGTCCTGCGACGTTGAGCAGGTACTCAGGGAGGCGCGCAAATCTCGGAACAAGGAGCAGTCCATGGCGGACCGCCTGGCGGAGGCTGACGGCGCAGTTACCGTCGCTGGCCAGGCCGCAACATCGGAGGACGTGACCGCGCGGCTCAAGGATCTAGAGTTCCGGGTGGACAAGCAGACGGGGCGGCGTGTAGTGAACGCGAAGCAGTTCGAGATGGTGAAGAAGGTGGCGAATCGAGTAATGCGCGAGATAGACGGCGAGGGAAGTGAGGACGGCAGCATGGGTGAGCCGCTGCAGTGGTGCATGCACGGGGGCCCTGGGACCGGCAAGTCGCACGTGCTTCGCATTATTCGTCATGAGCTGTTCGAGAAGGTGATGAAATGGACTATCGGAGTGCACTTCCAGATAACCGCCCTGCAGGCCGTCATGGCTCAGCTGCTGGGGGGCGACACCATTCACCATGCGTGTGGCATTCCGGCCATCAAGCGGGGAGAAGAGAAGGGGGGGGAGGACGTGAAGTTGCAGTACGAGACTGCGAAGCGACTGCTCCAGTGGAGGTGGCTCTTTATCGATGAGATAAGCATGGTGAGCGCTAAATTGTTAGCAGAAGTGGACGCGAAACTTCGCGGGGTGATTCGGGACGTGGGCACGACGAAACTCGGCGACGATGGCGTTCCACGCCCGTTCGGCGGCCTGAACGTCGTGCTGAGTGGTGACTTCTGGCAGCTGGCCCCCCCAGACGGAGGCTTCCTCGCTGACGTCCCCACGGAGCGGATTTCGGCTGCGCGCAGGTACACTTCGCTGCCACCCGTGTTGCACGGGCAGTCGCTACTGTGGGGCGGAGCCGAGTGTGGGGTTCAGGGCGTGACAGAGCTGGTAGAGTGCGAGCGATGCGACGACGCCTGGTTGAAGGAGGTGCAGGAGGAATTCCGAACAGGGTCGCTGTCGGCGGATGCGCACGCATTCTTGCACGGCCGGCATACGACCGTCCCTGGGAGCTGGCTGGGGGGGGACGTATGCTGCGGGAATCGGGCGTGTCGGGAGTTGTGCAGTGGCGGAAGGGACGCAGCGTCGTCAAGCGCGGGGCAACGACGGAAACGCCCCGTGACGCCGAAAGATATCCGCGAGCAGGAGTGCAAGGTGTGCAGAGCGGAACGCGCGCGCCGCAAGCTCGTGGTGGATGGCCCCGACGACCCGCGTCTGCAGTCAGACAAGTTCCTCGTGGCGCCGGGTGTGTTCCCAAACAACGACGTGAAGTACGAGGCGAACAAGCTCCGTGCGTCCCAGTACGCACGCAAGCACAGGAAGCCGATGGTGTACGTCCCTGCGCGAGATACGTCCACGCCAGAGGCGCTGCGGGAGCGGCCGGATCTGCCGCAGCAGAAGATGGCATGGCTCCAACGCCACGACAAGGAGAGCGGGGACTTGTACGGCTTCTTACCCATCGCTGAAGGCATGCCCGTCGCTCTGACCGATCATATCGATCGAAGCGAGGACAAGAACCTGCTGCGCGGTCGCGTGGGCCGGGTGCAATCCTGGGTATGCGACGGGGACGGCGTCGATGATCGAGTCACGCGCGGCGGGGAGACCATATTGAAGAAGACGCCGAAAGTGATTTTCGTGTTGTTCGACGAAGGCGATGACGGGAACGGCGGCAGGAAGCCATGCCAGTGGACGATCGAGGGATTGAAGACGCCCGGCCTGTACCCCGTGATCCCGCAGAAGAAAGATTGGTTCGTGGACAAGGGCCGTCCGCATCCGCGACTGAAGGTCAAAAGACGGCAGTTCCCGCTGGCCCCGGCCTTCGGAGTGACGGCCCATGCGGCGCAGGGGCAGACGTTCAAGCAAGGTGTCATAGTGGACCTGAGCATCGGCGGGGGCACGTCACCTCTGTCGAGCTACGTGGCACTGACGCGGGTGCAGCGCCGCGAGGACATGCTGATCTTTCGCCCTTTCGACATTGCGCCGTATCAGAAGAAGGACGAACGGAAGGGCCCGGACTTACTGCTGCGCACGTTGCGCGGAGAAGAATTGGACTGGGAGGCGATAGAGCGCGAGTTCATGCCGTCTGGCAGGTGCGCGGTCTGCGGGTGCACGAAGTACAAGAACATGTACCCAACGGTCGGGCAGTGGAGCCGCGCAGATGGGCTCCGCGTGTGCAGCGTGTGCATGGAAGATAAGAAGAGGGCTGGCACGCCGTGGCAATGCATGGAGTGTGGTCTATGGAAGTGCCAGGAGGCGTTCCACGCGTCACAGCACCATCCGTCGAAGTTGACCACGCGGCGCTGCGTGGACTGCCCGGAGAGACGGAGTTGTCGCGTGTGCGAGGATCGGAAGTACGAGCAAGCTTTCGCGGCGTTTCAGTGGGATAAGGCAGGGAACGCCCGGTGCAAAGGAGGGATGTGCCTGGAATGCGAGGAGCTGAAGAAGCACCTGACGTGTTCGCGCTGCGGCCAGCAGAAGTTACCAGTTGAATTTGCCAAAGCGGAACAGGTCAACGACGAACCCACATGCAAGGCTTGTAAGAAGTCGCAGAGAGAGGTGGAGAAGGCCCGCGCCGAAGAAGCGAAGCGAGTGGTATGCTCAGCATGTGGAGCGGCGAAGAGTAAGGCGGAATTCTCCTCTCACATGTTGGTCAACGCGTCGGAAGCGTCGATTGCCTGTACCACGTGCGTGGACGCTGCAACCGCCCAACGGAATATGGCGGCGAGCAAAGACGTGAAGACCTGTGTTGGGTGCGGGGTGGCGCAACGGCGCGATTGCTTTTCACGAAAGATGTGGGATGGAGTGGTCGCGAGTGACCGGAAGTGCAAGCGCTGCGTCGACGCTGGCGCTGCGCAGAGGGACGCGGCTGCGAGGAAGGACGAGAGAGCCTGCGTTGCGTGCGGGGTGGCGCAGCGGCGTGAATGCTTTTCGCAGTGGATGTGGGAGGGCGTGGCAGAGCGTCACCGCAAGTGCAAGCGCTGCATCGATGGCGCGAAGCTGCAGCGTGGAAAGTGGAAATGTGTGGAATGTAAGGGCGCTTTCGAGAGGGAGCACTACAGCACCTGGTTGGCCGGGCGAACGACGCAGAAGGCGGATGGAAAGCAGAGGTGCAACGGCTGCTGTGCTGGCCAAGAGCGCAAACGGAAGGAAGTCGCTGAGAGGAGCCTCGCGTCGGTGACGAAAATACGTAAAGCTGGATAGCTGTCGCCAGGTGGGGGGCGGTGGGCGTTGGACGTTTTTGGGAGAGGATTCGTGGGGTGGAGGGTCCCAAAAACAGAGGCAATCTGGGGTGGGGATGTCGGGGCCAGGTGGTGGGCGGGGAGGGGAGCGTTGGGCGTTTTTGGGAGAGGAATCGTGGGGTGGGGGGTCCCAAGAACAGAGGCAATCTGCGGTGGGGATGTCGGGGCCAGGTGGGGGGCGGGGAGGGGGCGTTGGACGTTTTTGGGAGAGGAATCGTGGGGTGGGGGTCCCAAGAACAGAGGCAATCTGGGGTGGGGATGTCAGGGCCAGGTGGGGGGCGGGGAGGGGGGCGTTGGACGTTTTTGGGAGAGGAATCGTGGGGTGGGGGGTCCCAAGAACAGAGGCAATCTGGGGTGGGGATGTCGGGGCCAGGTGGGGGGGCGGGGAGGGGGGCGTTGGACGTTTTTGGGAGAGGAATCGTGGGGTGGGGGGTCCAAGAACAGAGGCAATCTGGGGTGGGGATGTCGGGGCCAGGTGGGCGGCGGGAAGGGGGGCGTTGGACGTTTTTGGGAGAGGAATCGTGGGGTGGGGGGTCCCAAGAACAGAGGCAATTCTGGGGTGGGGATGTCGGGGCCAGGTGGGGGGCGGGGGGGGGGCGTTTGACGTTTTTGGGACAGGAATCGTGGGGTGGGGGGTCCCAAAAACAGAGGCAATCTGGGGTGGGGATGTTGGGGCCAGGTGGGGGGCGGGGAAGGAGGCTTTGGACGTTGTTGGGAAAGGAATCGTGGGGTGGGGGGTCCCAAGAACAGAGGCAATCTGGGGTGGGGATGTCGGGGCCAGGTGGGGGGCGGGGAGGGGGGCGTTGGACGTTTTTGGGAGAGGAATCGTGGGGTGGGGGGTCCCAAGAACAGAGGCACTCTGGGGTGGGGATGTCGGGGCCAGGTGGGGGGCGGGGAGGGGGGCGTTGGACGTTTTTGGGAGAGGAATCGTCGGGTGGGGAGTCCCAAGAACAGAGGCAATCTGGAGTGGGGATGTCGGGGCCAGGTGGGGGGCGGCGAGGGGGGCGTTGGACGTTTTTGGGAGAGGAATCGTGGGGTGGGGGGTCCCAAGAACAGAGCAATCTGGGGTGGGGATGTCGGGGCTAGGTGGGGGGCGGGGAGAAGGGCGTTGGACGTTTTTGGGAGAAGAATCATGGGGTGGGGCGTCCCAAGAATAGAGGCAATCTGGGGTGGGGATGTCGGGGCGAGGTGGGGGGCGGGGAGGCGGGCGTTGGACAATTTTGGGAGAGGAATCGTGGGGTGGGGGGTCGCAAGAACAGAGGCAATCTGGGGTGGGGATGTCGGGGCCAGGTGGGGGGCGGGGAGGAGGGCGTTGGACGGTTTTGGGACCGGAATCGTGGGGTGGGGGGCCCCAAGAATAGAGGCAATCTGGGTTGGGGATGTCGGGGCCAGGTGGGGGGCGGGGAGAGGGCCCTTGGACGTTTTTGGGAGAGGAATCGTGGAGTGGGGGGTCCCAAGAACAGAGGCAATCTGGGGTGGGGATGTCGGAGCCAGGTGGGGGGCGGGGAGGTGGGGGGCGGGGAGAGGGCGTTGTACGTTTTTGGGAGAGGAATCGTGGGGTGGGGGGTCCCAAGAACAGAGGCAATCTGGGGTGGGGATGTCGGGGCCAGGTGGGGGGCGGGGAGGGGGCCGCTTGGA